GTTTCACTGATTTATTTAATGTAAATTCCGGTGTTAGGCAGGGTTGTGTAATGTCACCGACTTTGTTTTCTATTTACATTAATAACCTAGCAGAAGAAATGAACGCTCTCAATTGTGGTGTAAACATTGACGGAGTTATGTTGAGTACACTACTGTACGCTGATGATATTGCTTTGATAGCAGGAGACGAGTTGTCCCTACAGCGGATGTTAGATTGCGTTGATAATTGGTGTAAACGTTGGCGTTTAATTTAATAATAAGAAAACTAATGTCGTTCATTACCGACCCTGTTGCTCAATAGATCACATTTTTGTATTCAAAATTGGTGATGTTACTATTGACTATACCAGTGCGTATAAATATCTGGGGGTTTGGTTGCAGGAAAACATTGATATGAACTTTACAGCTAAAGAAATTGCTAAATCTGCTAGTCGAGCACTTGGTGTTATCATGTGTAAATTCAGATCTTGTGGTGGTTTGGCTTATAATGTCTTTAATACTTTATACAATAACCTTGTCCTGCCGATCTTATCCTATGGGTCAGCCATAAGGGGCACAAAACAATTCAATTGTATAAATGCAGTACAAAACAAGGCCTGTAGATTCTTCCTGGGCGTTGGCAGTAAGACTCCAAATCTAGCGGTCCGGGGAGAGATGGGTTGGACAACTCCATTTTCTAAACACAAAATTGAAATTGTGCGGTTCTGGAGTAAGCTGTGTTCTACTGAGCAGTCGAGAATACCTAGTGCTGTATGCAGATGGTCTAATACTTTTCCAAAATCCTGGAATAAAATTGTTGTAAATATTCTTAACAAATTGGATCTCCCCGTGGTTGACCTATATAATATGTCTAAAATGGAATTTTATTACACCTCACTGTGGATACGATCATTAGATTGTCAGGACTGGAATAAAGAACTTTGGAACGACCGAGGGGAACCTAACGGGAATACACTCCGTACTTACAGAAAGTTAAAGAAACTATTAACAGCTGAACCATATGTCACTGAACTTCTGCCTAGATCTCATCGCAGTACACTTAGCAAGTTACGATGTGGCACCTTACCCCTTGAAATAGAGGTTGGTAGATTTACACGCCCTAAAACACCTTTAGACGATAGAATTTGTAAATGCTGTGATGGCAATACGATTGAGGACGAAGTTCACTTTTTGGTCAGCTGCCCACTATATTCGGATTTATGATATGATTTGTGGGAAAATGTACTAAATATTAACCCTTTTTCTTCTCTCTTGCCACCTTCCGACCAGGCCAAATATATGCTAGGTAATGTTAAATTAATAAAACCCTTAGCTGCATTAGTTACTAAAATGTTTAATAGACGTAAACGCACTTTGTAGTCATGTAATTAAATATACCACACTCCACTGTTGCTTAGAGAATTGTGATATTCTATTCTGTTTTAGGTAGAATGTAGTGGCTTGTGTCTCACAGGCCACTTTGAGGAAGGTGTTTGCTTCAAATACTCCGCTTTGAGACTCTGTGAAGTGAAATGTAGGTAGATATAATACAAATCTATAGATTTAAACACATTTCAAGATACATGTGTGAGGTTTAAGTTGTTTTTGACAGCACGGGCCAAGTCGGGCTGAAGAGAGACTAAACACTTTTGATTGAGACTATATTGTGAATGGAGAGAGAAAAGGGCTTCACTTTAACGGAACAGTTATCTTTACATGTGGCATTTTGTAACATTACACATCGATATTTAGGTAGATATAATACTAATCTATGGATTAAATACATTTCAAGAAACACAAAGTCAGAGATACATGATGTGGCTATGTTGTGAATGGATAGAAATGGGGCTTCACTTTGATGAACGTGTTTGTTTTTTTAGAGCATCACACCCGGGAAATGTAGGTAGATATACCGAACGCTTGGAATAATACTGTTTTCAAGAATACATGTATGAGAATATGTTTTGAGAAGGCGTACCGAGAGAATATGTAGAAAAGAGAGCTTCACTTTCAGCAACGTTTTATTTCAAATACTACGCTTCGAGACTCTGTGAAGTGAAATGTAGGTAGATATAACACTAATCTATGGATATAAACACATTTCAAGATACATGTGGTGAGGTTTTTGAGGTTTAAGTTGTTTTGACAGCACGGGCTTCAAGTCGGGCTGAACAGAGACTAAACACTTTTGATTGAGACTATATTGTGAATGGAGAGAAGAAGAGGGCTAACTTTAACGAACCAGTTATCTTTACATGTGGCATTTGTAACATCACACATTGATATTTAGGTAGATATAATACCAATCTATGGATTTAAACACATTTCAAGATACATGTGTGAGGTTTAAGTTACAGCAAGGTGCGTTTGAGAGCGCCCTGGTCCAAGCCGGACCGAACGCTTTTGATACTGTGTCTTTGTTGAGAATGTATAGAAATAGGGCTTCACTTAGAGCAAGGTGTTTGCTTCAATACTACGCTTTGAGCCTCTGTGAAGTGAAATGTAGGTAGATATAATACTAATCTATGGAATTAAACATAAATCAGAATACATGTGTGGGGTTTAAGTTGTTTTTGACAGCACGGGCCAAGGCGTGCTGAACAGAGACCAAACACTTTTGATTGAGGCTATGTTGAAAAATGTGAGACAAGGGCTTCACTTTAACGGAGCAGTTTTCTTTACATGTTGCATTTTATAACATTACAAAGCGATATTTAGGTAGATATCATACCAGTCTATGGAATTAAACACATTTCAAGATACGTGTGTTACGTTTAAGTTGCTTTTGACGGCTCGAGCCAAGCCGGGCGGAAAATTGTGGCCGAGATAATGTTGAGAGTGTGGGGAAGAGATCGTATTATTTAAATGTGGGCATGCTTTAAATACGATGAATAGTGAATTTATGGGGTGGTATGTGATTGGATATAGATGTAAAATCATTTTCGGGCCGACGGAAATGTGTATCGGAATTGGCTGAAGTATTTATACGTATTAAATCCCGTTTCGTTTAACGATTCCACTTTTATACGTAACCTCGGTCAGCCAGTTCACAGGCTTCTCGTCTTCCTGGGGTTTAGCCGATTTACTCGTAATAAAGTTATTATGGTACGCGTTTGTGGCTTCCGATTGATCATTATTATCATGAGTGGATGTTGCATTGATTAATTGTAGGCCTGGTTTTTGTTAATGGGTTTATTAGCCAATAATAGATTTGGCCCGCCTTGTCCCGGCCCGGCCCGACTTTTAGGCCATCCCCCTCCTAGATGTATCTCTTGTGGTGAAGCGTTCACCAGCATGTATATTCTGCTTGACTGTGTGAACTTGTCAAGTTCAAATCATGGTATCAAGCAGTAAATCGGAAAGATATGTTCACCCGCGTGAGAGGGAATCACATTATTAACGACTTAAGAGAAAATTGGTCTTTATCATGAATTGAAACTATGTGTGTGTATGGTAATTTTTAAATTGGGTGTTGCGTTTTCTAATTAATTATGTTGGAAGTATGCGATGGGTACTTAGAAATTGTAAGATCATGAATACAGGACTCGTTTTTTATAACAACTTCTGTATTTGTTTTTGAGCGAAATTGCCTGAATTTTAAACTTAGATGCCTATCGGTGATTTTGGCCTGCGATGAAAGCACTCTTAATCGAATATACATATTAAACACTAACATATTGAAGAAAAGCTATTTATATTTATGACGAATCCCATGTTTAGCTCTAACAGATGTTCAGGATCACTTTAAAAAGTCAAAGCAAAGATGAGCGAATGCACATGAACATAGTCAAAAATAGAAAGAATTGTTGTCTGTTCACAAAAGATCAACCATGCCAGCAAAATTTTAGGGGATTCCCCTTTTGTAAGCTTCTCATCTATTGGTCGATGCTGATTTTTGAGATACGGAACACAATTACGTGTTAAATCCCGCTTTTTGTGTGAGATCACGGTGTTGTTTAACTAACTGAAAGCACCCAGTTGTTACCTCACAAAACATTTTCGTTTTAGTCACGAACAGTCTCGAACTGACACCAAGCTGCCCTTAATGAACCAAGCAGATGTATTGGGTGATATGTATGATCTGTAGCATCCCCCCTGGTGTGTCGCCCGAACTGTTAGTATATTACCAGGCTAACGCTTAGTCTCTAAATATTTATAATATTGATAGAAACAAATACTTCCTTTTGAGTTGTGAGATTCCGAACCTGAACCCGAGGAAATATAAACCTGCTTCATATCGGGCTTCAGCATTACAGTTCGCCTCACAAGATTGCAATGTCTGCACAGTTTTACATACACATATACTGGTTGGTTGTATGATCTGTTGTTTAACGCCGCACTCAGTCTGGGCCAGACAATCCAGTGACCAACAGCATGAGCATCGATCTATGCAATTGGGATACGATGACATGTGTCAATCAAGTTAGCGAGCCTGATCACCCGATCCCGTTAGTCCAGTAACGACAAGCATGGGTTGCTGAAGATCATTTCTAACCCGGATCTGATCCTGACCACCTGATCCCGTTAGTCCAGTAACGACAAGCATGGGTTACTGAAGATCATTTCAAACCCGGATCTGAGTCTGATCACCCGATCTTGTTAGTCTGATCTTTCTAGTCACAACAGAACATTACCACCCCATCACCATGACAACCATAGGTTGCTGAAAAGAGGTTCTGGATCTTCACGGGTTATTTACAGAGTGAGTGAGTTTAGTTTTACGCCGCATTCAGCAATATTCCAGCTATATGGCGGCCGTCTGTACATAATGGAGTCTGGACCAGACAATCCAATGATCAACAGCATGAGCATCCATCTACGCAATTGTGACATGGTGACATGTGTCAACCCAGTCAGCGAGTCTGAACCCGATCCCGTTAATTGCTTTTACGACAAGCATGGGTTACTGAAGATTAATTCTGACATTGATCTTCACGGGTTATTTACAGATTGACATGTCACAGCATGTATATTTCTGAATAAAGAATAAGTTAGAATCAAGAAAGATTGATCATGCTTACAATCTCTTCTGTGGTCTTGTTGTAAAGTCCTTCAGCAAACACTGACACCACAAACAGGTTGATAATGAAGGACACAAACAAGGCAATTATAGCTTCTACAAAGAAGTAGAAGTTGGCCTCACTGACTTCAGTCTTCTTGCTCCGGTCTACTTCTCTCGACTAACTCGGATATTATCGGGTTACACATATGCTAACTGATGACATTTGAAATAGACTTTCAGTGAAAGTGTCATTCTAATGTTTTTTTTAATATCCGCAAACCTGTTTGTCAACATGTACATACAGATGCACATTCATGTATATTCCTAAAATAGTCAGTGTGACTTCTGATGGACTGTCTTTAAGCATATCCAAAATAGAACAACCTAAGAAGTGAGTGAGTGAGTTCAGTTTTACGCCGCACTCAGCAATATTCCAGCTATATGGCGACGGTCAGTAAATAATCGAGTCTGGACCTGACAATCCAGTGATCAACAGCATGAGCATTGATCTGCGCAATTGGAACCGATGACATGTATCAACCAAGTCAGCGAGCCTGACCACCCGATCCCACAACCTTAGAACATACCCATTTAATAGATGTATGTGTAAAGCTTATGTTAGTCAATATGAATTACAATCATGGTCCATATTTTGACTGGCTAAATCGTGTCTCGGCTGTTCGTGTATGGGAAAGGGTTTAATAACCATGTGAATTATATGCTCCCAATGCATGGTGTAAACTGTCATCAAAGTGAGTGAGTGAGTTGGGTTTTACGCCTCTTTTAGCAATATCCCGGCGGTCGACACCAGAAATATAGAGAATCGATCCCGGGTCTTCGGCGTGGCGCGCGAACGCTTTAACAACTAGGCTACCCCACTGCCCCCTGTCATCAAAGGAATGTTTGAAATTATCTAGCGTTATTTCTGTGAAAAGATTCAAGGCTTGTCTAGACGCACTTAGTTACTAGAGATTGCCCTGTCTTGATTTCTCTACATTGACCGACAAGATCTTATAGTCCTCTGAAGACTGTGTCATAGTGACATTACCTTTGTATTTCAGAGAATACAACAGCACAGACTTGTTCAGAACCAACTACATCATAGAAAGAGTTAAATGTTAAAAGGTACCCTTTCAACACATGTTATCACTAGTAAATATACCCGTGAAGATCCGGGTTATAATCTGTCTTCACCAACCCATGCTTGTCGTAAGAGGCGACTAACGGGATCGGATAGTCAGGCTCGCTGACATATGTCATCGTATTGCACCCAATTGCGTAGATCAATGCTCATGCTGTTGACCACTGGATTGTCTGGTCCAGATTCGATTATTTACAGACCGCCGCCACATAGCTGGAATATTGCTGAGTGCGGCGTAAAACTCACTCACTCGTAACACTGTGCGTGATACAGTAATGTTCATGTCCTATCTACTATCTACGCTGTGTATAAGCCATGGTGGGTGATTATGATCACTGACGCGTTAAATTTGGAAATGCCCTTCACTTGCCAGCCGTATTTTGAGGACAGCTTTACAAAACCTTAAGAGTTGTAGAGCTGCTTCAGCAACTTCAGTGAAATCATCGTAGAAACGACGTTCTGATGCTTTTTGTACCTCTTCATCAAGTGAATTGATGTCAAATATCTGAAATGTACGATGCAGACAGAATAACCGTGGAATGCTTTTGTCAGTAACAGTAAAGTGCCTCTTCTTGCATACGGTCCTAATGGCGTTGTGCTGTACCTATGCGCCAGCATGGGGTCGTCTACCTCCTCTACTTCATAGTTCTGGTTTACCGTTAGTTATTGTTAGGTAAATATAGGTTAAATAGATTCGAATATTTAAAATATGGAGTATCAGACAAAACTGTAAAATTTGTGTTTTTTATTTCTATACATTTAGTGACTATATATATTATGAAATGTCCGGGGCGCCAATTTCAAGCCACTGCGGGGTAGGCTGGAGGTTACAGTTTGAGTTAGTGAGTGAGTTTCATTTTACGCCGCACTCAGCAATATTCCAGCCATATGGCGGCGGTCTGTAAATACTAGGGGTGGGTATTGCAGAGAATATTTATATTGCGATGTGAAAGCATGTATTGCGATATGTATTGCAATATATTGCATGAAGTATTTCTAAACAAAAAACCTACTATAATAGGGTAAATGATTGATTTATAGAGCAAAAACACAACAAAATCACTATGCTTGATTAAGCTTTAATAATAAATTTTAATCATGATAAAATAATAATGTGAATGATATTTCGCTCAAATGAAACAAGGAAATACCCGAAGATTTCCGAGTGTTACGAAGTTTTCCGAATGCAAGTCAAAATACCGGTTTTCGATCAGCGTATCGCAATACGTATCGTTTTCATGTCTGAACCGGTAAATACCGGTGAGCCGGTTATATTGCGCAGCCCTATTCAATACTCGAGTCTGGTGAGGGTTATATAAGTTCTGTGCCGTGATGTGTGATAATGGCGCTAAAGGAAGGGCAAACCAGTTTCACTCACTCACTGCACGGGGAATTTCAACGGTTGAATGTTCTTTACCCATGTTACCCGGTTTGAGTTAAAAATTGATCAATGTATGATGCCTATTTTTAAAATATTCCATCGCGTGTATGACACTTCTGAAATTGATATAAGTTTCACACACTCAATAAATAACTCACATAGTCATCCATGCACTCACACATCTGTACTCTCATGCACTGACCCACACACTCACACATTTTAAGAGTGTGATGAAATAAATAAATACATAAATAAATACATAAATAAATGAATGAATAATAGATAGATAGATAGATAGATAGATAGATAGATAGATAGATAGATAGATAGATAAAAAAATAAAAAAATGATTCAATAAATAAATTATTCAATGATAATAAATCAATCAATAAATCAATAATTAAAAGAATAATAAATAACCTTTCACTTGGTTCTCCGCTGCCATAATGACTCATAAAATCGTGCTCACCTCCATGTTCTCTTCCATAAATTTTTAGCACATAAACAAATCTATATTTTCAATATTTCTAACATTTCTACCTCATCACAAAAGTAAATGCCTCGTTGCTTATCGATCCAAAAATCACTTGTATTCTCTCGGCATAATCGATTTCACCACCAGCTCAGGTATAGATATATGAGCTCTGTTCAGCTGCGCGCAGACAGTCTCAGCACGCGCAGCACGATACTTCCCCGTGACGCCCGTGCAAGTGCTGACGGACTTAATCAAAGTTTACCTAACAGTAACATCATGGTCAATTTCACTTGGCATCTACTGTTTATTCTACTGGGACAATATGTACATGGCGAAACAACACGTGTGGCATACAGAAAGCGTGAGGACTTGGCAAATAGAGTTTTTTCTGATGCACATATTCATTTCAGTCAAACCACAACAACTCTGAAGTGTGTTGAAAATTGTTTTTATGTCAACAACTGTGTGGTCGTATTGGCTTCAGAAGATGGCGGTGGTGCGGATTGTTTTTTATACGACAAGCTGGCTGTTGACATGACGAATCAAGTTTCAACCAATACTACACATATCTACGAAAGAGGTAATAAACTTTATTTATGATTTACAAACAAAATTTTACAATGAAACATATTTCCAGTAACACGCGCTTTTTATTAAAAAGTTTTGTATCCTTTATAAAGATATGAAATTGTAATTTGTGCTATGAGAATCTAAGTGGCTATTTAAAATCTAAAGATAATGTGTTGATACCCTGGACAAAATTCAGTTTTTCCTTTTTTTAACCGAGCTGTAAACATTCTAACACTTTTCAGTGGTATGTAACATGTTTAAATTTTTGTTTGAATTTCGGTGATAGTTTTTTTAGGATGAAAAGCAATCATTGATAGCTACAATTATATTTAATAAAACAAAATTGTATTATTCAAGGGAATGGATTTGAGGATTATATACACATGAAAACTAATTAAGCTTCACACACTATCTCAAAAGCTACAGGTCGCATGGCCACGTGCTACGAAAGCGCCAAGCATACTGGGGTATATGTTTCATAATTGCAATATTTGCACAATAATTATTTTAAATGACTTAAAAGACGACAGTGCTAAAACTACTTTCCTTGACATGGCAACACGTAGACTTTGAGAAAAATATCCGACGGCAAGTTATTCGTTTGCATGGCGCAGACAATCTAGTGATCAACAGCATGAGCATCGATCTGCGCAATTGGGAACCGATGACATGTATCAACCAAGTCAGCGAGCCTGACCACCCGATCCTGTTAGTCGCCTCTTTACGACAAGCATGGGCTACTAAAAGATCAAGACTTGAACATTAACCATAGGCTATTAGTCCAGTTGAGAAGAAGCATGTGTTCAACGGTAAAGTAGAGCATCGTTCAAGACCAGGAAGACGCTAACTCGTCTGGCAAGACGCAATTCCATGAACTATGCCGAAGAACTGCGCTTGCAATAGAGCATGTGAGCCCGAATCCCCAGTACAATCAGAGTGAGTGAGTGAGTTTAGTTTTATGGCGCTTTTAGCAATATCCCAGCAACATCACGGCGGGGGACACCAGAAATAGGCTTCACACATTGTACCCTTGTGAGGAATCGAACGTCGGTCTTCGGCGTGACGAGCGAACGTTTTAACCACTTGGCTACCCCACCGCCCAGTACCATCAGAAGGAGACTGTCGGTCTGAGGAAACGTCGACCTCTCAGACGTCCCTTCCTCTCAGACAGGCAGAGGCAGGAACATCTGACATGGTGTAGACTCAAATAAACCCGCAATTGAGGAAATGGCGTAGGATTTATTGGTCTGATGAAGATCGCCTTCTTCTACGCGTTACGCGTATGCTGCGGGTGGAGACGTCGTAACGAGGCATGCCACCTCTCGCCCATTTAGCGAATAACGCCACTGAAACGTTACCATGGTTGGCAAGGAGCAAGGTTGGCAACACCTTTGGTCTATTTTGGACGCAAAGTTCGAGCCAGAGATCTATTCGTTGACCCAGACATTCAGTGAGGAATGGCGGAGGTTTGGTTTGGTTGTAGTTTAACGCCGCACTCAGCAATATTCCAGCTATATGGCGGTGGTCTGTAAATAATCGAGCCTGGACCAGACAATCTAGTGATCGTCATCATGAACATCGATCTACACAGTTGGGATACAATGACATGTGTCAACCAAGTCAGCGAGCCTGACCACCCGATTCCGTTAGTCGCTTCTTACGACAGGCATGGGTTGCTAAAGACTAATTCTAACCCGGATGTTCACCGGTGAGGAATGGAGAGGGATACTGGAACGTTGAGGGTAGAGTGCTGATAGCGACGAAAGGAATTTGTGGCAACGTTTCATCATCTGTAGTAACATCAACGTCATGATCACAAGGATGACGCCCGCGCTGTTACCATTCATTCTCCAACAGCAACAGCAAACACACTTACAACACAACGGTAGACCGCACACTGCTAGGATCGTCCAAGATTTCTTGACTGGGCACAACGTTGCCTAGACGACATACGTTTGAAATATCTCCATTTAATCTGAAAAGGGGCCCAAGTGAGGTGGGAGATTCAGAACAAACGTGAACAAATCTACAGTCCGTTTGTCTCAAAAGCGGACCGATGAATTGCAATCTAACTCGAAAACTAATAAGCATAACATACTCACTGAAACGCTGATCATAATCAAAACATCATACCCACTCTGTGAGGTTTTTGCAGCATTTTTGTCCTAAAAATAATAAAGTTGTTTAACAAACTATCATTAAAATATTGAGACAGTTCATTTTTTGTTACGAGGGAGGAGTGCAGAGAAAGGGACAGCCAGGTGTTCGAGAAGCACGTTCACAGACAAAGTTATTTATTCATTAACCTGTGCTGTGCCGTCTCCATCCGTTCTCGAACACCTGGCTGTCCCTTTCTCTGCACTCCTCCCTCGTAACAAATGGTGAACTGTGTCAATATTTGTTTTGATTATGATCAGCGTTTCATTGAGTATTTTATGTTTATTAGTTTTCGAGTTAGATTGCAATTCATCGGTCCGCTTTTGAGCCAAACGGACTGTAGTCTTGGTTCATTTAAGGATTTAACATTACAGTAGGACTGCTGGATCAGAAATAATGTAGTTCAGAGGCTGTGAGACAGACGTAACGTTGTCGTTCATTCACGACCACCTCGTTCCGAAGGAAAGACGCCGTTGGAAACCTGTGGGATCATCTGGAGAGCAGAGCATTCGCCACAGAACCATCAACAGCAAGGAGACAAACTGGGACCGAGTGCAACCCAACCGCATTCATACAAACAAAAACTGCTGTACGCCTAAATAGGGCACGTTAGTAGGTCACGGCACTTCGCGAGACCTTACGTTGTTTAGTACTTCCGGTGACAAATAACGTTTCATGTCTTTCGAATGGCCTTCATGGTTGTCAGTGGATAGTAAGGAACCGATCATCCTTGCAGGAATAACAAACTTCCGATGAAACCATCCACACATAAGCCGACTGTTACGACTGTCAGCAGTTTGCGACAGTCAAGCATTGTAGAACATTGTAGTCATATATTGCGGTCGCGCAATTTGGAACCAGAACTAGTTCTTGAATTATGCCTGTCACGGGAAATCGGGTATCGGAAGTAGTGCGTCGCGAGATTTACGGGCCCTATACTCGAAAATAACCTTTATGAAATATGTTTAGTATCCAATTTTACTGCAGTTACTGCTTGACAATAACTTCAAATATTGGCAGGGATTGTTGTGTAGCCTAGTGGTTAGTGGTGCAAATCATTTCAGTAGGTTTCTTTAAAACATTATTTATTCAAACGACCTAATTGGTTCAATATATGTCCAAAGTTCCTTTGTCTGTTTAAGGCATTCAGCAAACATTCAGTGTATCCCCTCTTATCATACTTCACCACTGCCTGTCCGTCCGTTGTCCACCATCCTGAACTACATTCGGAGAGCTCCAAATCGAAAGCTCTTGGACAAATGTATAACAGCTCATTAATGAAAGATTTCATTTGAAGATTTGACCATAGTTTTGAATAATTGGTAACGTGTCCGCATGCCTTCCATATAAAATTGTGATCACATTTGTTGACCTAACTATATCATGCCAACTTGCGTACTGAAAGTGAGCCTGTGAAGATCTGTGTAAGAATAGGCCTTTAGCAAGTCATGTTTGTCGTAGGAGACGACTAACGGGATCGGGTGGTTGACTTGGTTGACACATGTCATCGCATCCCAACTGTAGATCGACGCTCATGATGACGATCACTAGACTGACCTGATTATTCATACCGAAACATAAGTCTCATTAACCAATTCAGACAATGACCTACTTTTCAGCCGATCCGAATTTTCTCGTGTGAAAGTGAAATGAGACACTACAAACAACTATGGTTACACTGAATTCGAATTCCTTGCTTAATAACAAAATGGTATTTACCAGTTAATCTTAATTTTAAAGTTTAATAAAATCGTAATTCTATATTTTATGTCGTAGGCAGCATGTCGTTAACGAAGACGTCGCAGACTGCGCCTGTTAGAAGAGGTCATACAATGATTAACAATTCATCTGGCTCATTGGTTACACCTGTTATGTGTTCTTTGCGCTTATTAAACGTATTTTTATAGCGCACAATGTGATTGATATAATATCAAAGCCGTAAAAGACCGCCAAACTTTTCTAGCGGCCGAGCCTCGTTTTGAGATTTCCACGATTTCAAGATTTCCGTTTGTCAGAGCACGTTGTACGGCAGGGCACGCTGCACGACTTATTTGCAAGGATTAGAAGGAGCGTATTGTTGCAATATACAAGTGATTGGATGTATCAAATAATACTGATTAATATCTATATATCCAGTTGAATGAGTTGGTCTCAAATTTCTGGACTGGTTATTGTAATAAGTTGCACAATAGACGGAACCCAGTCAGCAGGACACGAGACAGTTGTGTAATCAATGTTTTGACTTTGTACAGACCGCCGCCATATAGCTGGCG